AAGCCCCGGGTGGCGCCCCCGCCCCCCCCCCCCCCCCCCCGCCGCTACTTCTTCCCCCCCTCATCCCGGTCCCCTCCCCACCCCGCTCCGACCCGGCCCCACCTGCCCCGGATACGCCGCCATAACACCGCTGCTGCGCCCTCCCCCTCGCTGACGTCACGGGCGGTGCGTGCGCCCATTGGCCGCGGCCCGCGGAGGCCACGCCCTCCCTCGCCGCCGGGGAAGCGTGGGAGGGGTCAGCTAAGGCGGGGCGGTGACGAGAAGGAAGGGCGCGCCCGGGGGGGGGCTTAAAGCGGCAATGACGACGGAGAGGGGTGGGGCCCACCGAGTCCCGAAGGGTGCTCCCCGGGACCTACACGGGAGCAGGGCTAGGAGTTCCCCGGGAGCCGGTCCGGGATCCCCCCAGAGGCAGGGCTGGGATCTCCCCAGAGGCAGGGCTGGAATGCCCCAGGATCAGGGCTGGGATCCCTCCAGGATCAGGGCTGGGATCTCCCGAGAGGCAGGGCTGGGATCCCCCAGGTGCAGGGCTGGGATCCCTCCAGGATCAGGGCTGGGATCTCCCGAGAGGCAGGGCTGTGATCCCCCCAAAGGCAGGGCTGTAATCCCCCAGGATCAGGGCTGGGATCTCCCCAGGGACTGGGCTGGGATCCCCCCAAAGGCAGGGCTGTAATCCCCCAGGATCAGGGCTGGGATCTCCCCAGGATCCAACCCCATCAGGCCCAGTGCCACGGGCTGGAAGGGGGGCTCTGAGACACCGTGCCCCCGGCCGGGCTGACCTGGGGATACCCCACGCGCGGGACCGGGGCTGCGGTCTTGGGCATCCTCATCCCTGGGGGGGACAGGGACGGGGATGGGGACAAAGCGGAGTTGCGGAGATCCGGCACGCAGCCGAGCGAGGAGGCGGGAGGCCTGGGGGGCACCAGCACGGGTGTATTTGGCCGGGCAAGATCCACCTGCCCTCACGATCACGACGGAGCTGTACAACACCCCCCCCGTCCCCGCCGCGGGACAGGCACGGCCCCCGGCACAGCGGGGAAACAATATTAACAGCAAAGGCGGGGGGCACGGGGGGGGGGAAGGGGGGATACGGGGACCCCCTCAGCCAAAGGGACCCTTGACGTTTTTGGGCTGGAAAAGGGGCTGCTCCAGGGGCACGGCACCCAGGCACTCCGCCGGGCTGCAATGCCCCGTTTTGCCCGGCTGCCCCGTGGCACCTGGGGGGCCGGGGATGCCGGGGATACCCTGCTGTCCCACGGGGCCCGGGGGGCCCATCTTCCCGTAGCCTGGTGGCCCTTGGGGACCTGGAAGAGATGGAGAGAAAAAGGGAGGTGGCAAGGCGTGGGGGCTGGCAACAAGCCCCAGCACGGGGCTAGCGGCCACGCGGAGAGAGGGGGCTCACCTGGGGGTCCGGGGGGGCCGCTGTCCCCCATCACACCCACACCTTTCTCTCCTTTCTCGCCTTTGGCACCTGGCTCGCCTGGAAGAGAGGTGGATGGAGAGGGATGAGACCCCGGCACAGCCACGATGCCCCAGCGCTCGGGAACGCTGGGAATGCCGCGGGGAGCAGCACCTACCTCGCATGCCCGGCACACCCTGTCGCCCCTCTCTGCCGATCTGCCCCGGCATCCCCGGGGAACCAGGGGGTCCCGGCCGGCCGGGCAGCCCGTCCTTCCCTGGGGGACCGGGTCTCCCTGGGGATGCCACCATCTCCACCGGGAAGTGCAGCCGGGAGGTGTAGTACGCCATCCGTTCTGCGGGAAAAGGCGGCCACGCTCAGCACCGGTGGGGATAAAGCGATGCCGGGGTGCGACCGGCCCCCGCCACCCCATTACCGTCAAACATCTTGTTCAGCTCCTGCTGGATGAACCTCTTGATCTCATCGTAATTCACCACATCTCCCTGGGGGAACACACAGGAGGGACCGTCACCACCGGACCCTGTGGAGGGATGGGGGTCCCGCATCCCGGTCGCCCCTCCTTACCATCATCCCCGGGGGTCCTGGAAGCCCAGGGTTGCCCGCAGGTCCTGGCGAGCCGGGGGGGCCCCTTTCACCCGCGGGACCCCGTGGCCCCACGAGGCCCATGGAGCCGCTTTTCCCTGGCCCCCCGGGCATGCCGGCTCTGCCCTTCTCCCCGGGGTAGCCCCTCTCGCCGGGGGATCCAGCTTCACCCTGCGGAGACACGGAGAGGCAGGGCTCAGTCCCAGCACCCCCGGCTCTGAGCCGGGCTGTGGGGTGCCGGGATGGTGGCGGTGGCACGGCCGGGCTTTCTCCTCACCTTCTGGCCGGCTGGTCCTGCGATGCCGGGTTTTCCTGGGGGGCCCTGGGGAGACACAGAGGAGCAGGGTGACAGGGATGTTCCCACCCTGGGGACACCACGGCCAGGCTAGAGGATGCCACGATCTGGCCCCGGGGTCCCACCAGGCAGGATTGCCGCAGAACCCGCACCGCATACCTCTTTACCGATGGGTCCGTCTGGTCCCTGCTCCCCCTGCGAAATCAAAGTGGGGCAGCGTGAGACGCCGATCGGTCCTCGAGGTCCCCGCTGCACTGGGGCGCAGAGGTCTGTGCCACCCCTCATGCCCCGCTGCACTCACCGGTGGTCCTGGGTGGCCTGGGGGTCCTGGCTGTCCTGGCATCCCCGGCAGACCTCGCTCCCCCACGGAGCCCCGCTCGCCCTTCAGCCCCTGCGGAGAGGCAGGAGGAGGCAGCCGGGATCAGAGTCAGCGAAGGGGATGGGGACGGTGACCCCCAAACCCGCTCTCCGTGGCACCCACCCGGCCCCCGCAGTACTCACCACTCCGGCGAGGCCAGCAGGACCCGGCTGCCCCGGGCTGCCAGGGGGGCCCTGGGGGGCAGAGAGAGGGGTGTCAGCTGGGGGGGGACATATGGGTGATGTCCCCGCTCCCCGTGCCGGAGGGACGCCACGCCGCGCTCCCCGCCGTGGGCACCGTCCTGGTGCGCCGTGGGGGGCAGGTCCAACTTACGATGAGCCCTGGGGGTCCCTGGCGACCTTGGGGTCCCATGGGTCCGGGGTCACCCTGAGGAAGGCAGTGTGATTGAGGGGTGACGTGGGGACCATCCAGCTTAGGGCTCCAGAGCCCACCCACCCCCTTCAACTCACCTCCGCTCCCGGCCGGCCCGTGATCCCCGGGGGGCCAGGTTTGCCGCAGTCACCCTAAGAGAAGGAAGGGACACTGTGGGCAGCGCAACGCGTGGAGACCCTGGCCCAGGACCAAGGTCCTCGGGGCTGTCACCACCGCGTGTCCCCCAGTGCCGCCGTCGCTCACCTTCGGTCCCGGGAGACCCGGGTGCCCTGTCTTCCCCTTGAAGCCCTGGAGGGAGAAAAGAGCTGGGTGGGGGTCCCCCGGCTCCTGCGAGCAGATCGAGGCAGGCGACACCGACCCCAGTCTCTGCTGGGGACCCCATCCTGCAGCGACAGGGTGGGGGGGATGCCCACCCACCCCTTGGGCTCAGCATCCCCAGGAGTGTGCGGTGGGACAGTCCTGGCTCAGGGAACACCCGGTTCTAACTGCAGGGACATGCCAGGCACCGAGCACCGGAGAGGGGTGAGAAGGAAGGCTGTCACTCACCGGAGGACCCATCATCCCTGGTGGCCCGGGTGGTCCGGGGTCACCCTGGAGAGAAAGAGATACGGGTTGAGGGTGTCCTGGGGAGGGGGCTGCCCCCCTGCCAGCACCCCGGAATGCCACAGAGCCTCACCCGCAGCCCTGGCTTGCCGTCCTTGCCGTCCAGTCCTTCCAAGCCAGCGGGGCCCTGCGGTGACAAGGTGAGGGTGTCAGAGGGTGGTTTGGACCGAGGGGCTCTGGGGGTCCCCGAGGGACCTGCTCTGGGCACCCCAGGCCATGGGAATGGGGAACAGGTCCCTGGGGAATGGGTCCAGCCAGCGGTGCTCCCCAGCAGCACCATGATACCAGTGGTCCTGCCCCTTCTCCCCACAAACGTGGCATAGGAAGGGGGTCTTACCTGGATGCCCGGGGGTCCGGGGGGTCCAGGGGGCCCTGGCATCCCCGTGGGGCCACGCATGCCCTCGCTGCCCTGCAAGAGCCACAGGTCAAGGGAGCAGCCAGGGCTGGGCAAGCCTCCGCCACCCCGCAGAGCAGGGGCCAAACTGAGCCCACCGGCCCGAGGGATGAGCGGTGCCACCGCGCAGCCACATCCCGGTGGCACTCATCCATGGCACTCACCTTCTCGGCCGCGGGCCCTGGTGGCCCGGCTGGACCGACCTTCCCTGGGAAGCCAGGGGGCCCCTAAAGAGAAGAGGGGTGTTAAGTAGGGGTGGGGGGTGTCATCGTGGTGGGAGAGCCCAGCCCTGCACAGCCCGCTGTCTCCAAACTCATTTTAACGGGTTTGCTCTGGGGCTGCTCTCCGCACCTTATCTGGCGGGATGTGCCCGTGTCCCCCTGGTAGAGCCCCATGTCCCCATCCCCAGCTGGCTACCCGGCCCCGCGGGGACATGGGGACACACAGCCAGGGCCAGGCATCATCTCCCAGGAACACCCCACTGTGCTGGAGCATCGTTCCCAGCAGCCCCGGTGGGACGTACTCACCGGTGGTCCCGGGAAGCCAGGCTGGCCCTGGAAACCCTGTGGAGAGACAAGAACTGAGCTGGACCCCAACGGCCGCATCCTGCCCGATGGGGGTCCTGGGGATCCCCATCCCTGCCGGACCCTCGGGGATGCTCACCTGGTCCCCCTTCTCGCCAGCACTGCCCGGGAGCCCGCGCTCGCCCCTCGGTCCCTGTGGAAAGAGGGGGCGAGGTGGGTGGGGAGCACCTCGCTGCACCCACAGCCACCACGGCCGCCCCCCCTCCTGCCCCACAGCCCCCCGGGAGCCGATCAGAGTGGGCACCTACCGCTGGCCCTGTGGGACCTGGGAGGCCGTCCAAGCCGGGGGGTCCCTGGGAAGGGGAGGAACGGGGTCAGATGGATGTGGCTGGAAGAACCTCAATCCCAGTAGCCACGGTGAGGGGGGCACTTGGGAGAGCCCCCAGCCCCTCTACCCCTGGAGCACGGCCCTGAGGGACTCACCAGTTCCCCTTTCTCCCCAGGGGGGCCCACGTAGCCTCGCTCACCTTTGATGCCCTGGGGAAGGAAGGAGAAGAAGGCACC